TTTTTTTTTTTTTTTTTGTTATTGGCACATTGAAATATTGTATAAAATATAATAACAATTGGTTGACAACATTTATTGGCAACAATTACTTACAATAGCCATATAACATAGCATCAAATGAGTGAATTCATTTTCATATATATATAAGGTGTAAAATAATTTTTAGAAAATGGGGAATTATAAGTTGAAATTTTTATATGTATAGTGTTTTCTAAAGCTCTAATCCACAAAACTAGTTAGACATAAAGTATTAAATGTTGAATATTCAACATTCTTTACTAGCTAACAGCTTGGTGAAACAACTAAAATGCAAGATCAAGAGAAAGAGGGAGAAAGGGATTTTGATTGGAGTGGAGCTTAATTGAAAAGTATAAGAAATGCATTTTAGGTCAAATAACAGACTTTGAATTTGAAATTCATGGGATGGAGAATGCATTTGAAATAAATACATTTTAAACTTTAGAATACGAATAAAATACATATATTTGCATTAATTTCAATTACACTAGAAATTAACATAAAAAAAAAAATAGTGAATTTGAATTTAAATTTAAACACTCCAAATTCAAATACACTCTACAAAATTTGTATTCTCAAACAGACCGAAAAAGAAATATGAATATTTGGGAATTTTTGGAGGGAAGCTGAAGAAGATAACTACAATTTTAGGGACTTTGGGTTTTGAGGAGGAGACAAAAGACGCAGGAATGAAAGGCGACTACATAATGAAGGAGATTGGGTGTAAGAAAGAAGGTTGTGAAAAATTGTGGGGGGAAGCAGTTGTGACGTTGGAAAACCCAGCAAAATCACTCCTTGTAGGCAGTCACTCAAAGGGAGAGGTTTCTCATCCCTGGGGATGAGAAGGTCTTTGACGTTTAGTAAATTTGTCGGTTCATATATCCAAATTTGGCGAAAAGGGTATTTAGCCCTCCCACTTTTTGAACTTATCGAAACCACCCACTTTACTTTTTTCTATAATTTATCAATCCAAGTACTTTCATGTGGAATTAAATCACCCCACCCACAATTTGATTGAATTAAATCACCCAGCATTTAATGGTTGACGTAAGGACACATCTCACCTTTCTGCAGAACTCGTCGCATATTATGCTCTCGATGATTTGGCAATGCTTAGGACCATTTAGCGAACCTGGCAATATTTTGATGACTTGAACAAATTTTTAGACACTTTAGGCTCTAACATGGCTAAAATAATTTAAAATAAATTTTATATTTATTAATCTTACAAAAAAAATATTTTATAGGTGGATTATACAATAAGAGTGCAGTTTATTTTATAAATTTATTAAAATATTTTTAATGAAATTGCTTTTTTAATTATTCATTAAAGATATGTTAATAAATTTATATGATAAATTATATTTTTAATATACAGTTTGAATGGTTAAATATAAATCTCTTAATCTTATATTAAAAGGAAAGAAAATAAAAGGTCAAATTTTATTCTCTCCTTACTGTCTCTGTACGCTTCAACATGGCGAAAATCTTTTACTTATTAATTTATCTTATATAACAATTTTACGCTTTGTAATTCTTATTGGCATGTGAAAATCATAAAAAGGAGTTTTGGTTTGCGTCTAATTAGGCATTAGGATATGGTAATCAGAGATAGCATAACACTCACAAACTTATAGTAGACACATTTTTGTCTTTTTGCCTCAAAAATAGTCTAGATTGCCCAAACACACTGCAAGGAACTACAAATGTTACTTTCTGAAGGCATTTTTATGGTACTTTAGTGGTTAGGTCCTGAAAATCCAGGGCCATGAGGGTGCTTAGATTCATAGGATTCATATGCTCAACAGCGCCTGTCATGATCTGATCGACGATCATCCGGTTTGCCCGCTCCGTTGGATGAAAAGCATCCCAGAAAACATAAAGGTTCCTGTCCGGACACAGGTTTGACAATATGTTACACTGCCCCATTCCATTGTAAGGTCCCTGTCCACAACATGCTATCTTCGAAGAAACAAAACCTGTTGTATATAACAACTGTTTAAGATGGAAAAATCTGGATTTTCCTTTAGCATTATGGCAAAAATGTTGTTCAAGAACTTACCGAATTGTGCTGGATTGCTGATTATGTTCATATTCATGGAGAATGCATTGGAAGCAATGAAAATGTTTGATCCCAGCTCCTTGTTGAGTCCTTTAATCATTTCCACCAGCAATGGATTGTAAATAGCCGCTGCACGTTGAAGCTCCGATGCACATTCTCCGTTCTCACTCCTCATGGCCAATTCAGCTGGAACACATCCCATCGGCCCTGTCCCTGTCACGATCACCCTTCGAGCTCCCAACTCATACAGCCTCTGCCAAAAAAATAATGTAAATGTTACCATGCCTAATTAGACTAATTAGAGGATGAACGAGAGGTGAGACCAAAATTGGTAACCGTGAGGATTTTCCGGTACTCGGAGATGAGGAAACAACAGTAAGCAGGGAGGGGGAATTGGATGGATCTTGGGGAGAGGGGTAAGAAGTAGTTGTTAACGAAGTCGTTGCCACCTAGTGTTATGAGGACAAGGGCTTTGTTTACCAGCTGCCCTGCTGCTTCTTGTCCAAGGATATTACTAATCCTTGTTTGGTATTGTTGAAAATAATGAAATTGCTCAAAAATTCTTAATATATTCACCTGAAAATAAGTCAAAACAATTCGGTTTCATTAATCATTGCATCGCTTATCAAAAGGGTCTACTTTTTAGAAGAAAAATCTAATAGTTGAAAATCCCCATTTGAATATCTATATTATTCTCTCAACTCATTTTTAATATATTTAATTTAATTTTTTAATTTTTTAAATACAAATTTTAAATAAATATTTAATAATTTATATAATTAATAATTAAAGTTTTTTTTACATATGAAATTCTTATTAATTACTATTTATTTTCGATCACTCATTGGATCAATTAGTCAAAGGTTGGAATTTAGAGCGTGATGGAATTTTGAGATTAAAAAAAAATAGTGTCGGTCACCCTCGTACACGCCGTGTAAGTTAGAAAGTTCGAATATAGAGTGACTCTTGAATTATTAACTCGTTAACCACCACATATAGAATAATTCCTTGAGTTGTGTGGATCATGGGGTTTCCTCTGCATATGGAACCGTTGGTTTTTGAGGAGAAGATGGAATAATATTTTGAGTTTTCTTTGGACAATGATAAGTTAACCCTCATTCCTTTACACACTCTATTACACCTTTCATTTTTTATTATTTTTGTTAATTACACTGTTAATCAGCCAACCATTTCTTTCTTCTTTCTTTTCTCCTTCTTGCTGTTCACAGTTCTCACCAGCTAGATCTATTTTCCTTCCCACCTCCATCCTTATCTTAATCAACCAAACAATTTTTTTATCAACCAAATAACA